AGCTGTTCGTATTTTCGATACTCTTTGTGGACTTCACAGAGGGTGCGGAGAACGCAGGCGGTGCCATTGTAACCACGTCTGCAAGCAAGTAAGTCAAAGGATGTTAGATTTGTGGCCAAGTTCGAGAGGTTTCAAAGGACTTACGTTTGGTACAGTTTTTCAATTTTCCCATACAGTTTGTTGCGTGTATACAGATGCTCTTTGGTGTGGATTTCGTGTAATTTCTCCGTCAGACCATCGTGGTCAGGGTGAAGTGCTGCAGCTGAGAGGAAGCGACGCCTTCTTCGTTTACCATATATGCGATAGATGCGATGTTGGGGGTGTCTATGTAGAATTTTGCGATTCTTGTTTTCTTCTTGAAATCTGATTTCTGGCATATGCCTTGCGAAAGATATGACGAATAATGTGGCTGTTTCAAGGTTCCGTAATAAATAGTTTAAATGTGTCTAATTACCATCTCCTATGAGTTTCGACCTGTGCACTCTCCCATGCCTGTGGTGGCCATTGTTTTGCTGTTGTGTGTTGTGGTATCCATTTCGGAGTGTGTTTCTCATTGTAGTCGAAGGAAGGAATTGGCTGTGGAATGTCGATTATCGGATGCAAAACTTCTTTTTTGGCCAGCATTGGACCAGCATTCTCCCACCTGGCAATGTATTGATGTCCGTGTATTGAATCGTTGCGTCTGGTCAGACCAAATGTACCATGATTGAGTTTTTCGCGTAAATTCGAAATTATTTCTGAAGCCGGTTTGCTAGGAAGCTCCCAGGCTATTGCGCATGTAATACCCAAAAGGGCATAGTTTTTATAGTCCAGGATCGGTATGACAAGATCGTAGGCTATAATGAGGTTGAAAATGTGATCATGAGTTTATGTATGTGGTTATGTGAGTGGTGGTGTGGGCATCCAGTGCGCCGCTTCGGAGTATTGCGATATATCTCGTGGAAATTGAACATGGTCAGTATTGAAATTAGAATCACATTCTGCACTACTCGGTGGTGGTGAGGTCTGACTGTATGTATATGTAAATGCTAAGAGAAAAAAAAAAAAACTACCAAGTTGCTGGTCGAAGCCTACAAGACTGGGTGCTTTTGGAAATGCAACCATATCTAATGTTAGAATCCCTATTCATGACCTTGGGGTTTCCATTTGACAACACAATGCAACACCCATTTAATGCTTTTCGCCAGCTATGGCAGATAGTTGTGTCCATCTATCAAAGCCTTTTTGCCTATTTGTTGGCCGCAAAAATAAATTGTGGAAATGATTGAATTCTTTTAATTGGAAATGACCTTACTTACACAGTTGGAAAGAACTTCCTTCGGGGAATACCAGATAACGTTTATGTCGGTGTAACAATATCATATTGTCCTCCTTTGTAGACGCTTGAGATTCTGTCAACGGAACACGTTCCGACTGTGTCGATGCCGATACTGCGAGCTTAGGCAATTGTGATGAGTCGGCGTATTTACCTGACCGAAGAGATTGCGTTGAGTTGGTAGACCACCGCTTGGAATTAGTGTTTTCTTGATTGCTTTTATTAATTTCATGACGAACAAAGTGCTGTCCCCAAGGCATTGGCACCGTCCACTGTCTTGTGCCAAACGTTGATGTCCGTGATGGAGTACCAAAGGACAGGCGATGGGAGCGGACGTCTTCATTGCCATACAATGTGCCCTCGGAAATGTTAATGATGTGTACAGGCTCTTCGGCGTTATTATTGTCAATGCCAAGCATGCCACCGTTAAAGGGTTTTTTGGAATTTGGGACAACACTCGAGGATGCAAGTTCAGCACCCACAATTATTATTATCATCATCGTTGAAAATTGAAGCGTTTTTTGTTGGAGCCTTGCCATTCTTGTTCGTTGCAGCATTTGGCGAATGACTAGCGAGTACGATGTTCCTCAGTGTGGGTATCTGGTGTTGATGTTTTTTGCTCTTACGTTTAATTAAAATACTTTAATTGTTCCCAGCAATTGCTCATTTATCAAAAGCACCGGCAGCATGGAGACCTGCGAACACTGGCAGGGCCGGGTGGCATCGACAAACTTATTCCGGCAGTGAAAACAGTTTGAATTTGCTCGGCCGTCTTGCATCTATTGCGGCACACTAATCAAGCGTAAAATTAATACTTGCGCTGTGAGGTGATGCCGGTCTTCCAAAAAAAAAGACATCCAAATTTAATGACTGTAATTCTCATTCAGCCGCGACAGATGATTATTGGACAAATGCGATAGCTAAATGGCTAAGAGTTTTCTGGTGTCACTGCTATTTCACACAAGCGTTCCAAGTGCCTATAAAATACTTTTCTATTGAGCTGACAAAGCCAATGCCTTTTAGTAACCACCGTTCATCGATTTCGGATCTTAGATTGTTTGGACGTCTGTCCGCACATTTAATTACCATTGAGGTAATAAACGGACTTCATGAATACAGTAATGACGAAAAGTACTGTCATTGGATATGGCATGGCGTGTTCACCCACAAGCGCTACACACTTTTGTTTGCGGCTGTAAGGCCCCGAAGCGATATTTACTCTGAACGCTGCAACTAACATCTTTAATAGGGCAATTATTTAGCACTTTATTGTTAGAGTGCCTGTCTGCCATAAACTAATTTTGATTTTTGAATATTACCTAACGTTTAATGGAAATTATTGACAATGATAACCTTAAGCGTCGAATAATTGTGCATTACATTGTGCAGAATTGCGTTAATGAACCGCTCAGAAACACATTTCAAACTATACGTCCTATATCCAAATAATTAATTGTGCGATAGACTTAAGGCATGGGACAAGGTATAAAATGTTCCGACTGCTGTCCATAGGAATGACCTGAAGTTATATTTCGGATTTCGGAATAGATGAAGCATTGGTATGTGTTTGTGTTTCTGGAAATAGCTGTACATTTCACAAGAATAGGTACCGCCAACATGCCTTCAATCTAGTCTTTTAACACGTCTGTGTGAAATGTATGCCATAGAACATAAAAAGGTTCTCAGATGGAAAATGTATTTGCCAACAAAACGCTGGGTTATTCTAGAGCCGCTAAATGAAACCTCACGACATTGCCCTAGTTATTAGACGACCGTGTACAAAGAAATCGTTTACTCTCAATTGTCACTTATTATTTTGGCCATAGAATTGGTACAATCCAAATAATTATTAACGTACGTACAGATACAATAACATGCGATAAAGTGAAGTGCGTCACTTTTCACTGTCACCGTTTCGTTCATTAAAAATAGTAATGTTTTACAAAAACAAAAATACAAATGGTATACTGGTATCTATAGTAGTAACATACATCACGCTGTGCCACACATTATAATGTATTTCTATTGTTGTATTATAAGCTTTTTTGGCCTAAGAGTTAGACCCATCTTTTAGTATCTCGACTAGCTAAGTTGGTGTAGATATGTGTGTCCGTTCGTATGTCCATTAAAAATCTGCAATCGCTTCTGGCCAAAGAAGATATTTTTGTGTTTGGTAAAATCTGTCAGTATTTAGCTGTTGACGTCGACAAAAAAACATGTTTATTCGTTTTCCTGATCGCTCTAAAGGTCAGAAAATTGTACGACAATTTTTTTTGGGATGGTACTATATATTTTGAAAAAAATCCTGGGACAAATTACAACGAGTTAACGAGTTTAAGAAGTGCTATATATAGCACTAAAAGTTACAATTTGACAACACAATGCAACCAAAATATCGTAAAATAAGTTGTAAATGTGCCTACGAACCTCAGAATGCAGCTTTGACAAATGTTACGGCATGCCTAAACGTGGACCAACGTGTGCGGCCACATCGATTGGGCAATGTGATTATTATACAAAATCGCCTTGGTTAGAGTATTTCATGTTAAACTGTTGTTCTTAAATTTGAGTCTATGCTAATGTCAACGATCAGAAGAATCATGTTTGCACCGATTTCAGTATTGACCGCACTGTGATGCCAGAATCAAATTATGTGTCTAAATTTGTTCATAGCTATTCTAATCGCTACAGTCAATATACCTTAATATTTTCCCTGTTGTTGTTAGTTGTATTTTTCATTAAAGTTAGAACTTGGTCAATACACATGCAGGAATACACAAACATACATACATATGTGTGTATGTATATCAAGCAATAGGTTTTTTATTTGTCCCAGTAATTGTCAACGTATTGTCAAGTGTCAACATTGAAGTGAAGTGGACGGGAAGGGATCATGGTCCATTTCAAGAAAACACGGACATGTCAATGTTTACGTTAACGCGTGATTGCCTTCTCTCTCTCTCTCGTGGTCCACCTTTTTCTTTCTTCCTTGAATGTGGTTAATGGAATTTGTCGCCGTCTTAACAAGAATTAACTGATGCGACAATCACGATGATATGTTGCCACAATAGCTCAGTATTGGCCAATGCAAATAAAGAACGTCGACGAATGAAGAAAAATAAACAAAAAATTATGAAGAGTGGTATCCGTCGCGAGAAAAGCTCATCACTCTTAATGCTGCTATACTATGTACCGCATTCGATTTAACGTACTTTCGCTCCGAGTTATTCTGACCAGAACCGTGGAAATACCTCAGCGCGTAAGTCGCCATTCGAACATTGTCAGTGCACTTCAAAGAGGATTAAATGTAACCATCACCACCACAATCGTACAACCCTGGCAGCGGAAATACAAGGACAACATTAAAAGTGCATAATTAATTAGTTAACATTGCAGGTTAACTATAGTATTCGGCGTGTGGAGACGTTGTGGGGCAAGGACGACCATCGACACGCAATAAATACAGCAGCAACACGAGTAGCATCGGCAATATACAAATCGTCATACGATATCCTCCCCAGAGGAAGCGAAATAATTATCGTTGATTAGATGACCATCACCTCATCGTCCGGTGTTCCCTTTCGATAGTTCGGTACTGATTGAGATTGAGCGAGTATTAAAATTATTAATTAAATCTAATTGGAAAGAAGCGGAGACGTGTGGTCCGACAAAGTACGGAATAGGAATGAAGCTGTTTGGTTTGATTACAACAGTTGTCGTGGTGACATCATGCCTGGTGTTACCCACTCAAGGGCATGTGCCTGGACCCAGCAATTCGACACTGTTGAAAAGAAGCCGGCGTTATTTGGACTTCACGAAGGGCGCTCGTATGTCGGTTAGTAGGTGGCAGTATGCCTTCGTAGCACAACAATAAATGTTCATATACCAATCATTTTCAGTGGCGTTGCACTGTAAAGAACAATATACTGAAGGTGAATACTCTGTGGGGTTATGGTTTTGGTTTCCGCGCCAACTTCCCCTTTCCTGATAAAGCAGACAGACGACGGCCATTTTTCAAGAGGGATGTCTTTCAAGGTTTATCAGATGTCTTAGAGGGGTAAGCTCGTGACCGTTATCTCGTAATTATAAACTAATCTTTGATATTTTCAGACATGGCTTTGACGGTCAAGCATGTCTTCTGAAGTCATTTTGCACAGCTCACATGAGCGACGACTCGAATTTAGGAAAGGGAATGCTGTTCAAATTGCTGAAGTTACTCTTCACGTAAGTAACCCACATGACGCAGACACTCCAAATTCGAGTAGTTCTTATTGTCCATTTTGTTTGTGGTTTATTCTGCGGTAATAATGAAAGTTATCAAACTTCGAGATTTTACTTTTCTAATAACTACTTCGTTAGAGAGTGCTAATTGAAGTAGCACGAAGTTCAATATTTAGAATTCATACACCAACATATTCTGATTCCAGAGGCATGTAAGATCTCCCATATTATTGCCAGTCATTTATATTTGGGGAAGATTTAGTTCAGTTTATTGTCGAATTTCCGAATCAATATTAGTCGCTCTTCGACGAAAACTTTTTGACCAATCAGTGAGTTGACCAAGCGACAAATGACACAATTAACACCCTCTGGTATGGACTATTACATACGACGAGAACATCGGACTAATGGTTTCATAATTACAATCAAGAGAACAACATAAATACGTCTTTCGCGGATGCAGCTTCATATTTATTGACACAAGCTGGTTGCAAACAGAAACTAACCGACGTACAGTGAACGACGCATCCAAGTTTGAACCGAATCTAGGACGTCATATTGATCATAACAAACAAAGAACCAAAGTAAGCAAAAAGTAACGTAGCTGAAAGAGAACTACAAAAGTTAAATGCCGATACCGATTAGTAGAATGTTCTACATCAAAGTGTCGCACAGTTTTGTTGCTTTTGGTGGTCTAGTTGTCGTCCTGCTTTTTACGCATTCTACCACGAATTTAGCAAGCGCTTCCTTGTTGGTTACGGAGCAGGCATCAAGTTCAAGTGATACGGATAAGGAAATTGCATTTATTTCCGTTAACGGAAGTCATCTAGATGTCAGCAAAACAAAACTGAGCAGCTCCAAAGCCTCAGCTACGGGGGATGTGACAGTCATCAGCAGACCAGGAGAAGAGCGTCCACGGAAACGAAGCAAGAGATATTTAGATTTCATCGAAGGGAGTCGCATGATTGTGGGTATAACAAAGCGAATGGACGGCAAACGCTAAACTATGCCTCACTTTGCGGAACCCGACGAGGCGAATAGTAATATTCGGATGCTTTCTTTTGATCTATTCCACAGTTTCGAGTCAATGTCAAGAACAACATCATTCCCAAGCCGACAATATGGGCCCATGGTTATGGTTTTCGTTGTAATTATCCCATTGAAAATAACAGGGAAGCTAGGCCATTTAGGCGCGATACATACGATGTGTTGCGGGAGCTAATGGATAGGTATGTGTATTAGCATATACTAGGAGGACCAGTCAGAGAGTCATTAAGAGGAACGTACAGTTAAGGAAAATGCATTTTCTTACGCGGTTCCAACGTATTCGCACATGTCTCTTTAGGTCCTCCACACAAAAGAAAATCTAGAGTTTAACGTTTGACTTTCAGGAGTGGCTTTGATGGTCAAGCTTGCATTTTGAAAGCCTACTGTGCCGCTCATCTGGACAATGGGACAATGTGGAATAAGGGCATGTTATTCAAGCTAATGAAATATATCTTTACGTAAGGCACTCTTCTAGCTTCCTCTGATTATTATTGGTGAACTTCTTACATCGACTGGAGTTGTCTTCTATATAATCACCATTATTTTCTTTTTTCCTTCCTTCCTTTCTTTCAGACTAACCGACGAGGATAGACGTCACTTTCCCCATCTACAACATGACAACTGTAAACAGATTCTGCACAGCCATTGTCCTCTGAGTTTCAATAGTATTTCGCCCTACACTGACGATCTGTAGAATAATTGGAAAACATTTTAAATAAATAAAGTTGTAATACTCAATTATGGTGCGTTGGTTATTTTTCAATCTCCCAAGCAATAGTAAAATGAGCTGACATTAAAATTCTCAAATAATCCCCTTAGTATGTTGGTCTGTGTACTTCTCCTGTTATAATTACTCAGCAAGTTGTTTGTTTTTTCTCTATGAATTCGCTTACTGGGCGACCTTATATAAGCCTTGCTACACAGACAGACTTATTGAAATAGATACATATTAGGAGTTATCCCCATATATCACTTTCAAAAAATCGAAAAAGTGTCAAAAATGCAAATTTTCACTTTGGCAGTCCACAATTTTTATAAAATTTAATATTGTTGAATACCCCGTTTATTAGGTTACGCTTCATACATAAACTAAGCAATATTTTCCATCAAGAACAAACTATGGGTAATCGGTATTTTTGGGAACAAATAACAATAACAGTAGCCTTTAGTAGTAATATTAATAAAAACAACTGCATGCTCTTTCGAATAGCTTTTAATGTTTAATCGGTCATACATGATAATACAATTTCAATTCAGTGTTGCTCATAGTACCCTGGTGGTGGTCGGGAATATTTGCCAAATGCCAACTCCAGCAGGGAGAATCGGCAGTCGTATTGGGCAGAACAGTCATCGGAATCCGTAGAACGTCGTCGACGGTACGCTCTGTCGTATACGTTTATATCTGGGCTCTGGTCAGTTTCTCGTCTGTAGACACGTTGGCGTGGCAGGCTGGCATAGAATGAAAAGATACAAAGCCATGACATTTCCTAGATCGCAACGAACAACAACTTACCTAAATATGGTTCGTAACATTTCTCCAATCATGCCCATTTTCGTATTCTGAAAGTACAGGCGACTCTCGCACAGGGCCCTTAAAACACAATCACGGCCGTTGTAACCCATGCTGTAATAGAAGAAATGAACATTTTCAATGTGGTTGGCAGGAAGGCTGAAGCTATCTGAATTAGGTTGAATAAACGGTCTCACTTTTCTACGAATTTCTCAATTTCGCTGTACAGAGTTCTGCGAGATCTACGATGCCACATAGCCACGGGTATTGGCCGTTTGGCGAAACCGTGTAGGTGATTGAGAATCCAAGATGAGTTGGGCAAATCGTAGGCTACTCCCCAATTGAGACCGAAACTCATGTAATTATACCTAGGATTACCGATAATACCAACGGTGAAACAGACGGCCACCTGCAGAACAAATACACAAACGATCAGACCTGAGTTCTACTCACGTGCATCACAGTAGTAAACGAGAGTAACGCACACACACACACACACTGTTGGTTTGTCACATTCAGTGCAAACACCCGAAATGTCCGAACACCCGAAAGTTTTAAACAGTCATTGGTTTTACGTATTCTGGAAATGTCAGTAGCCACCATAGACACGGCAATGTTTGTCTATTGAATGCTACAAGCAATTCTACACACACATACACTCACTCGTACAAACTGCACGCAGCGTATGGTGACATACACACTTTCACACACACATACACAAACATCGTCAGTACATACAGAAAATGATGATCCCTCTGGAAATGATAGATAGCGTTTCGAACGAGAAAGTAAACGCTTCTGTAATGATGTTCCAGCTGATGATGGTGATGATGATGAGGACGATATCCGTGGAGGTAATGACAATATTGATGACACATTCGACGTCATCATTGGAGTGTCGTTGCCCTGCTTGTTGATTCCCGCCGAAAACATTGTTGTCGGTAAGAAATCATTTCGCTGATCTTTGGATTTCACCAAAAAAGACGGATATATGTTCAAATTTTCGTTCCAGCTATTGTCTTCCACCAAAAGATGCCTGTCAACTGAGTCACACGTGATCGTATTCAAATTAAACCAAATGGAGTACTTCAAGAAGTCACTGTAGGCCATTAATGCCAACAACGTCTTAATCCGGTGCGCCTGGGTCGTAGCTGTTGTCGTGGCCATCATCAGCTTCAAATTGAGAATGTAATCGCATTTTCTAACAGCTCTTAGCCAGTAAGCGAGCCACACTTCTTCGGTTGATTGGGTATAACGAAAGTAAGTGTTTTTTCTTAGACGAAATTATACAGTGACCAGTCACTGAATGAAATCGAATCTTTGCCACTGTTACAGCTCGAACAGATGGCTACAATTATGTAGATTACCTTGACCATTCCATCTTTCCAATTCCTGGACGTTTAAATGTCGTTTCTAAGCAGAGCTTCATAAGATATATATTCCGCACGATACGTAATTTGCATTGATTTCGATTCGGTTGAAAATTATTCGAACACAGAGATTTCAATTTGCTGTTCCAAAACAATAACTAGGTGCTGTAAACACACTTGTTAGAAAATGTTGTAGATTTGTTCATTAGGGTTATGACTTTTTTGCAGCCCCGTTTCAAAGTATCAAGTTTTACATAAGACATAATATAACATCTTAATGATTAGGTGATTATTTAAAAAACCCTCAAGCCCAAAAGCATTTGAAAAGTGTGCATGTATGAGAATTTGAGCAAAAATATAATTAACCACAAGCTTTAGAGTCACACAAAAAGACATACCCTTGTATCCCACGAAATGACTTTAATTGTGAAAATCATAAAAGGCATCAGCATCCCATACAAAGGAAATCAATCGAATCATAGGATACCTACTCTGAATTGATAAAAACTACTGTGAAAAAATAAAAACGTCAAATGTTCATCGATTTCTAGAACCAATGTCTCGTTTTGTTCATAAGGTATGATTAAAAACACAACTTTCTAAAAAAAAATTAAAGCGGATTTGGCGTAATCTTTTTTAAATAGTATAAAATTGAGTTCGTTTATTAATAGGCAAACGACCATTAATTCCTATTATTTTAAGTGGTTTTTGAAAAAAGTCAAAAAGTCATAACCCTTATGTTCAACGCAGTGCAATATACATGCTGTTGGTTGGAGCAATCAAGAAGACGATGAGGTGAGTAGAATTGTACTCCGTACTGTACTGACTAGACTACATCCGAAAGGGCCACTGTGAATGATGTAAATGTACGAGTATCTGTGATGTGTATGTCTTAGTACGCATATGCCTGGTCAGGTGAGAAGACAGAATGATTGAAGTTTGCAGAATCCTATTATCTCAACACTAAAATGCTGTTACTTCGTATATAAAGGAACGTTGCACACAGACACACACCTGGTTAGTGGACGTGCAACAATTGCTGAATGCATTCGTGACTTCCAAATAAGCACTGCACAAACAACAAACTGGCATTATGTCTGACTATTTTGAATAGAAAAAAAAACGCTAACTCTACTGATATAGCCAAGAGGTGTTATTGATTTGATTATTTAAACCGCATTTCACAACACTGAATTAAGGAGTTAATTAATTGAATATATCGCTCGTATCTAATACAATGTCTTTATGGGGTTTGTTGAACTTCCGCATTACCCAAATATACAAGGACCTTACATCAATGTACATCAATTGAAAACGCCGAAAAGGGATGAAAAGATTTTTTTTTTAATTTTGAAAAAAAATTAACTTTTAAAAGAAAATCAAATTTTCTATGAAATTCTATTTAAAAAAAAATCTGACAATGTTGAATATGTTCAACGTTACATTTTTAAGGGCCCCACACACTGTCATACTTATTTTATTTTGTTTAGAGATTGTGTTGTGTGAAAGTGCGCGAAGTTTTGGTAAATAGTTCATGGAGTGAAATAGTGAAATGACAGTTCTTTCGTCATAGATAAACTCAATTTTTAAAGAAGCGTATTACTGTGCCATGCATTGAAATGCAAGTATTTCGCTTTTGAGGCGAATAAATTTGTCCGCAAACGCATGGAAATGTTTACGTAATTATGCATCACGTTTCTCTATATTGTAGTTCGTGTGTCTGAATTTCGGAACAGGACACTATTCAAAATTAACGATTCAGTCAAAGTGCGAACAAATGAACGTTTGACAATTTGCCACAAGCCCGTTTATTGTTCCACGCCGATGGTGGCTACATTTTGTAGCAGGGAATTAGAAAGTGAGAAAAGTCAAGAGAAAAGAAGAGAAATGGATTGAGTTCAAAAGTTAATAAAAAGCTTATTAAGAGACCGTTCCCTCCGTTGCCTCCGTTCCTTTGTGGCCACTCGTGTTTCTGCGTATCGGGGAAAGAAGGTAGGGCTATGCGTCAAATTCACCATGTTTGGCTAAACAGAGCTAACACACCCACCAAAGTGTCTCAGTTAAATTGTGATATTTCCAGCAGCACTAAGCAATGCTATGTAACGACGTTTTATGCCATATTAGCCTACGGCTGTTCTTTCTATTCTTGATGCTATTGGTATTTTTTTTTTTTTTTTGATTTCGCAAACTCATTTCAAACACTAAGTCATTGAAAAAGTACCAAGAAGAGAACTGAAGATGAGAACTATATTCATTCCTGGCCTAAAAAACGGCTCTAGGCGGTCATGCACAACAAAAAATCGAAATGGAAACAATGTCATAGTTAGAATATGAAATTAAAATTGAAATAAAGCAGAGGCAACGTCGAAAGCAACTGTCAAATAGCGATGTGGACGGAATAGCTAGAATTTAATAAAGTAAATAAAACAAACATTTATGGCGGTCGATTTCCAAATGTTTGTAAATAAATTGTTTGTCTATTAGAAGGCAGTTTTGGGGCTCCCAGAAAATGAACCCTCATGATGGTGTGCTACTTAGGCAACCAACAAGGGCGAAACCCCTCAGTTGTTATTTCTGTTACTTTTAAATCACTTTACTGGCATGAAGTTCACCATTTGCTGTGTCAGATTACTAGAGAATATACGACTTTGGCACAGAAACGGAGACAAAAAAATCAAATTGGGTTCACTACCATAAATGGGTTATTTAATTACTTAGGGTGGGCTATCCTCGTTTATAACGACACCAATTTGAGTGATAAGCGATAAATACAATATTCAGAGGTCCCACAAAATGTTTTGCGCATTATTTGATATCGTTTATAGTGACCATTCTTCGGCACAATTGCATACGTTGACCGTTTCCCCTTTTATCATCAAATTCTAATTGGAAAACCGCACTGATAGAGCTTCCCCTATCCACAAAGTGGACGTCGGTCTATCGATTTCAATTTGTAGTTTCTAATAAAATCAAGTATATTAAGCCGCAACTATTAGTTCGCCGTTGCCATATTTGTTCGGTGCTCAAAAAACTAATTGATGATGGCCAACAGATATTGCGATGAGGTGAAAAGTGTGTGTGTGTGTGCGTGTGTGAAAATGCCCAACTGCAAATGTGGACTTCTCACAACTGCAATTCCATTGGAATCGATTTATTCGTCAATGTGGCAACGTTGGCCGGAAAAACCACTTCAAAGCTAAACGTTTGGCAAAGGCCAATTGTTATGAACACCTTCCTCGGTTTTGGTCACTGTACTCACCGCATATGTATTCAATGTGGTAGTAAACATTTCGTTTAGGCCAATAGTATATCGTGGGAACACACATGCACAAATACATTCATACATATGCATGTAAATATGTTTTCCAAAACAATTATGTGAATGTAATTTAAAAATGAGTACCATCAATTCGAAATGTAATAAAAGGTTTGAAACTAGTTCAGAATTCGCCAAAATTTTAATCGATAGAGGCCCTGTTCCTGTGTACATATACTTCGAACATTAAACACAAATGTGGAGACAAATGGACAGATCTCATATCGAAGTGTACGATTAAATCGATGCGTATGCTGGGATTGCTACAAGAGTTGGACTTACCCATTAATTATCGTTTCCAATTTGCCATACAGATCACGCCGATGACGTCGTTTTATTTGTACACCGCTGTCATCCTTGGATCCGAACCCTTTGGCATGCTCCAAAACCCACGTTGTATTTGGCAAGTCATAAGCTATGCCCCAATTCAATCCCATACTGATGTACTCGGTTACTGGATTACCAATGACACCAGTTGTCAGACAAACAGCGTTCTGTAGATGAGCATTCCATTAGATGGAACGTGGATGTGAGAAGGAATGGAAGAACTTACCGAAAAAGAAGAACCCACAGGAAAGGAAAGAAAACGTTTAGCTCTGGAATGGATTTCATCAGGCACATGGGTTTGACTAGGGGTGGCTACGTTGCTGCTTTCGACAAAGGAGCTGTTGTTGTCATTTCCAAAATCGATATCCTTTGCACTGTTTGTCATCGTGGTGTCCTCGTCCATCTTCTTCGGAGTACTGCATACCAACTCTACTGTCCCCAGCAACAAAAGTAGGAAAGGTGCACGCAATTCCATCATTTTGTCCAAGTTCATGGCCTGGTTTCCTTTCGGCAGAGTTTAGGCGCAGAGAAATTATGTACTTCTGCCTTGATTCCAATATAAAATCGACGATACAACCACACACCCTGACTGATGCACGCACACGTTTAATGGTCGGCAAATACTTCGAATCTAGTGGATCTTTCTTTGGTCGTGTTCGCTTGGCACGCACTTGCGAGTGTGTCTCAGTCCGGACCTTGTGAACAAATGAAGTCAGTCAGACTAAGTCGAAAGGGAAAGGGTGTGAATTTTGGCGCTTCGATTTGTGGTAGTTTGTATGCGTGATGTTTAGCTCGCAATGGAGGACAAGTTCTTCTTGTTCTTTCGAATATACTCGTCAATTCGAATTGTGTTAATTTGCTCCAGATCCAGTAAAGCCACAAACAATATTACAACAATATCATCTTGAGGTGATTTCGATTCAAATATCCATCATGACATCAATTCGTAATGTGCTAAACACTTTTGATGCTCCCACCAAACCCTTTCGCACAGCATGTCCACTCTCTTCACACAGCTATTAAAACAAAATCGTTGATAGGTATTTCTTGGCCCCTTGCTTGGGGACTGATGTTAACTTTGTGGCGGTGGTCGGAGGGAAGTGGGCCACAAAGAGTACTAATTGCTGTGCATTTAATTTTTTCGGCACCTGTGCCGAATATAACGGTTTGTTTTTCATTTGAGCTAACCTGCTGAAAGGAACGAGTCACAGATTATCCCTTGAATCATATTTTGATATTAATTGTCTAAGTCAAAAGAAAATATATGGGCACCTGAAGCTTGTCGCAGTAATGTTGGCTACGTTGTGCTACCTGACCGATGCAAACACGAACAACCATAATAGCGTTTGGAATAATTGATTTTGTATTTTTTGATAAAACAGATTCTATGATGACAATCCATTAAATATGAACATGCATGGAGATGTACTTTAGAATTCATGTTGACACTTATGCCACCAACATACAATCTCAGACATGGATACATAATTGACAGCGTCCGACATTACTCAAGCGAAAACAACAAGTAAATACATACCAACTAATTCTAGGAATGCAGCAGCTGGTTAAACAAATATTTGAGTTTGAATGCGACAAAGAATGTGAAAGATACAACTTCTTGCCTTTATGGAACGATGTGTGGCACTTGAATTTCAGTAGTTGACCAGAACGCTGAATGGTAACATAGATATGAAGATATCCACTGCTAGTCAAATTGTTGTCGCTATACTTGTCTATGGTTCCATTAGAGGCGACAATATGCTTAAAAATGCAACATGCAAAAGATCCGAAGTTATTGTCAGAAGACAAAAACGTTTCTTGGTGTTCGAAAAGGGGTCCACCTTTACTGTAAGTAAGGAAAATCTATTCTGTCCAGTAACATCGAGGTCATATTTCGAATTGTCGACGTAGTTACAGGGCAATGCAGCTAAATCCATAATATCAGGAACACCAAAGGGACTGAATGAAATATTCGAGTACACTCTGATATATGACTTGCCGACTGGAGTAGATTTTTTCAAGCATAAATCAGCTGGTCGAAAGGCAACAACCAGCACAACCACAACTACGACCAAACCAATTATATCCGAATATTGGAATTCAATAATGCCTGTCGGCATAGATGGATCCACAATTTTCCCGCGTACAGATATGAAATGTCCGAAGCAGCAGTGGCTACAGTTTAAGGGTCGCGTGCCACAAATGTGCTTGAGGAGAACTAAACGTGTGGTTGCAGCGCATCCAACAACAACATCGCAGAGGATGTTTTATGATGTTATTGAGCAATGGTCGAAGATGTGAGTTACACCTTTTGTATTTCAAATGTCCACTGAATTTTTAAGAATGTCTATTTTATAGCCATGGATTTTTGCCACGTCATTGTTTTATGCGCACCCTCTGTGAATCAAAACATTTTCTTCTACCCAAAGGCTACTCGTTGTTGCACGACATCATACGTATTTTCGTGAGGTAGGCAATCAATTAATTTGACTCAATTAGAATACATTCAGATTATTGGAAAATTTAATTCAGTTCCACTACTCCCTGGGTGCGTCATCACGACACATTCGGTCGAGTTCTACGATATCACCAGTCCATAGACAATTGTGCTGCGCTTTATGGACCCCATTGTCGATTGAGTTGGCTGCGAGTTGTTACATCATTGGTATACGATTCAGATATTGCGGACTTTATGTAGTAATTTTTTTTTTGTGGGAAGTCTTGTAGATGGAGGTGGACAAATGTTTTATTATATTATATTGTATATATAATTTCAATATACATTAAAATTAAATATGTCCATAAGACATTCTGCAAAGACAGATCAATCAATATATTTAATTTAGATTTAGTTACTTTACCAATTCCCAAATATATAAAGCCGAGGTTCACCCATACAGAATTCGGGAATTGGTAAAGGTTTTCATCCAAATTGAATTGTTTTGGACTAATTAATCTGTCTTTGTACACAAATATAAGCTCTGTACTGGCCCCTTTACGTTTGAGGATCTGTATTTGGAGTAAAATGCATGTATTTTTTAAGAACTTGCAAATCGCTTTCCAAAATGAGTTAAAAAATATGAAAATTAATTTTGTCACAAAAATGTAATTTAAAAGTTGATTTGGCGTGAACTTTTTTGTAAAGAGTTTATTCATTCTTACTATGGGGCATAAAAAATATTCAAAAAGTCATACCCTAGAAGGGGAGAGGGGGGTAACTTTGAACGTGGGGCACCTTTGAACAGCGCTCCTAAAATTTCGGTTTAACATTTTTCCGACCCGCAAGCAAATTTTTTATATGTCAATCTTCTTCTTTATCTGCGTAATCCATTTTGGCTAGCTTTTTCAGTTGTCGACAAAATTTAAATGAGTGACTATGTTTTTGCACTGCAATTGTAATTTTTTAATTTTTTGGTTGTAAGGGCGCAGGAAGAATCCAGTGATAGTTTTCTTTCGTAAAACAATTTTTTTTTGCATTCCAACAATCATTTCAAACATAACTAATGTATTTTCTTTCATATATATTTCCTACAAAAAAAGTTATTATAAATTTCCGTAAAATACCACAGGTGGGCACCTTTGAACATACCCAGTAAACTCCAGTAAAAACGGAGTTTTTAACTTTTGGCTTCGATTTCTCAAAAATTTCAAATGGGCAATAGATTACGAAATTAGCTGTATTTTTCGCCATATAAATTTTTGTTTTTATGTCATTTTATGTTTTAATAAATTTTGATCAGAATTTTTTAATTTTCGAATATTTTTGTATATATATTTTTTTTTAAATTAATACCTTTCTGATATGTATGAATACAATACATATATATTTGAACATAAACACTGTAAAAACCCATGCCGTTCAAAAATACCAATTTTTGTTAAAGTTTATATTCGATGGGATGTTCACAAATTCCATGGTTCATTAAATAGATCCTGTCAAATGTAATCTCTTAACCCTTTCAGTGTTTTTTTCGAATATATTCGACATTTAAAATTACTCTCTTTCTTTGCGATTTTTCGGTTATCCTATGTACCGTTACAATTGATGTTTTTGTTTATGCTGAAAGACAGACAAAACTGTCCGAGGGTCAAAATGAGAATTGTTTTTTTTTTTTCTAAACTCTGTGCCTTTATATGATCTTAAATACAAAATTTTAGATTTTTATTCTGACAAAATTTATTTTTTAACACTGAAAGGGTTAAAGAAAATATGAGGGAGGATATTTAAAAGTGATTTTAAGTAAACCCTAAAACATATCTTTGAGTAACTTGTCCAATGTCCAAAAACAACAATGTGGTGTAGGGAATAAAAAGGCACAATTATGAATTATTATGGATATGCTTAGAAAATCAACCCAGACAGAGATTTTTTCATTAAAATCTTAAATTTAATTTTTAAACATAAATATTTTATTAATAAATAATTATTTTTTGCTGTTCTTCTAAAAGGACGGTGGCGTTTTCACATCTCTTTGTCGCTATGTGAAATAATTTGGAAGACAGAAAGTGCACTTTATTTCAATTTACACTTTCTACTTTCGGTACACCCTGCATCATTTTGGTTATGGTTTTGTTTTGTCATGTTTTGCCATTACCAAGGCGAACAAAAATTGTTTTTGAAATACTAAAGAATTTCAATTAATTTTGAAAACCAATTAAAGTGATAATTTGTAAGGTAAATAATAAGAGGCCATTAAGGGCCAGATGGAGAGAGAGCGAGGAGGCAGAGGGATGATAGCTGGCATTTAACTTGAAGAACTTTTAGAATTTACATTAACTACTCGTCAAGTATACACTCAAGTGGAAAGTTGGAGATAGCATCGAGCGAAATGAAACGACTTGAACTTGTGGTATTGCTAAGCGGCGCCATCCTGTGGTCAGAAGCGTTCAGTACGGGGAATACAACACGGAGTGTGCTGAGTCGACGTCGAAGATATGTAGCATTTCCCGAAGGCTCCTCAGTTTCAGTAAGGTGTGATAAAGACAGTAGTTTTCTTGTTGAATTATCATTTGCTTTCATCCGTGCTAGGCTGCGATTTGTATGATTATAGGTGTAATTTCAAAGCCAACTGACTTCCTGACCTCATCTGTGAACTGGGGTGTTGCCTATGATTTGCCCAGTTTTGAGTGGGCACGCCAACATTCCAACGGATTTTCCAATAAGCCGAAAGCTGTAGTGCAGAGACGATCTCGCAGAGATCTGTACCAGAAACTTGAAATCATAGTTGATAAGTGAGTAAATAAATGGGCGATGACTGCTCTTCAGTAAAGCTGATGGTTTTGTTGTTGTTTCTAGCATGGGATTTCCCGGAACAGACTGCATATCTCGGGCATTATGTGAAAGTGGACAATTTTTAAAGGATATTCCGAAAATCAAGGGAAATATGGTGGAAGAGTTAATCAAAATTATTTTTAGGTATGTGGCACATGCTAAGTATCCGAACTCGGTCATACTGAATAATTGAGTAATAGGAAATATGTAATTCGAAACTGAAATGAATATTGACGAAATGGTATAGATTTGTCCCAAACATGGAAACCTAAATTTTTTTCTCAAGGTGGCTTATTCTATCAAATCAATTATGGGTTGAAAAAAGTGTCAAATACACACAAACACATGTGACGTATTTAATATTTGATAGAAGAAGCCACTACCTTCAGAGTTGATTTTTTGTTGCTCACCTCAAGTGGTCCTACTTTGTATTGTTTTACCATGGTGCCACCTATATTTCTAAACCATTTGTTTATTCCAATTTGAAATATTTCGGATATTTTAGTTTTCCATCGGAGGAGTTGACTCGGGAGGAATCTGCGGAACATCACCACTACGCTCATGTTTATCGCCGGGCAAAACGATCGCGGATTGATTGTAGTGTGGAATATGCCGGTTGTCAAATCTCCCTGCTGGATTTAATTTTGGGGCGATATTCAATGCCTGTTCAAAATTTACCCCAGAACACGATTTTCATGTAGATCATCTGCGTCGGACCTACCACGAACATTTTGAAATAAAAGACTTTACGCACAATTTTTTAAAACAAATTATTTCATTTTACTTTGTTGTTTTTTTTTTTTATTTTAATAATAACGCGTAACATTTATATAATAATTATTTTTTGTTTTGTTATATCATTTTTTCGGTTTTATTTTTTGTATTATTATTGTTGTTGTTATTTGTTATCTGTTATTTTTTGTCTTTGCCATTAGTTTAAATTTCTTAATTGTTGTTGTGTGTGTTTTGTTTCTTTTCGTAACATCTTACATTTTCTTTTGTTTTTTGTTTGTTTGTTGGTATTGTTTTTCGAATTGTGATGAAATTGTTGTTTTTGTATTACTTAATAATGCCATAATTTCTTACAATTAGCCTATTATCGATTTGCCATCATGTTGTTGTTCGTCCCTACTCTCATTCTCTTTGTTGTTGTTGTTATTGTTGGTAATTTGTTTAGTATTTGGGTTTGCTTTAGTGTTGAATAAGTTCAAAAAATGTTGGAATTTATTATTTTTTAAATAATAAATCGCCTGTTTCAATTTATATAACTATTTGTTATTTTCCATAATTAATAAATTTATTTATTTTTAATTAGTCTATAAAATGTTTATACACATGCGTCTGGTTTTTTATTTTGTTCTCTTCTTCTAGTAGATGTCTTCTTGTTTATAAATGGCTCGTCGTCATTGTAATGTGTGGATGTGTGTGCGAGTGTGTGTGTGTGTTGGTGGAGATGGGCTGAGGTTGTGCAGTAATGGTCAGATGAATGTGTGGGTGAGGCAGTGAGGAGGGAAGTATGGCTTGGTGTTGGTGTTTTACCTACGCATTTTCGACTTTAACGCCTTGTTTGCCATGTTTAGATAGAGAGAGAAAGAGACTTTTGTGTTTGGTTTTGTGTAAAATGTTAATTGTTTCTTTTAAATTGTAATTCATATGTGAATGTAAATGCATTACTTTGTTTATTTAGTTTAGTTTTTTTTTGTCATATTTTCGTTTGTCCTAATAATTAGTTGCTTTAGTTTTCAATGCGTTTTGTTCTGTTAAAATACATTAAACATTTATTCTTAAATTTAGTAGATAGTTTGTTTGCTGTTGCCATTAATATTTAATGTTGACTGGTTTAGTTAACAAAATTACCATAGGGTGCGTTCGCCTTCAATACACCAATGGCGTTCTTGAGAAAGCGCTAAAGGGAGATACATTCGAAGAGGCAGCAATATGAAATTTACTATCTCATTCAAATGCCAAGTGGAATTTAAACGGAATATTGCCTTAAATTCGTAGATACAAATATTTAAGGGAGGGGCGTCATGATGGAACATTTAGGGCTTCAGGGACACGATCAGTGCGAACGAAAAACCACAGGTTCTGAGTCGTCGATGGAATTATATTATAAGAAATGCAGTGGAACTAAATCAGTACCTCCAATGAACACACACATAATTGAACAGTTTGCATACCCAATTGCCAATCAGAGCCTTTTTGGCATATGTTTTAAGGGAACCCCCCCATTCTCGATTTTTTATTTTTAAGATTTTAAATGGACTGGTAAATGAATACCAATGCTTGTTAAGGTTTGTAACTTGGCACATATATATTTGAAGATTTAAAAAGGAAGAAAAATAATTTACCAAAATTTGTTGTTGTTGTTTTGTTGTTGTTTTTTGGGTTCAAAGAAAAGTCCACATTTTCGATGGCGGGCACGATAACTCCTCACTGGAACGTCGGAATCCGAAAATTCCAACTGTGTTAGAAAGAGGACATGTCTGGCTCTCGTATGAACTAGGATTATTGACTTCGCACAACAATTAACAAAATGGCGGAACTTTGAAAAATTTTTTTATGAAAAATCGCCTATTTTTTACCACAAACAAAGTTAAAAAAAAGGAAGATCTTCACCGATTGGCTTTATCCTAGTTCATACGAGAGCTACACATTCCCAGAGAAACGTGTCAAAATTTGAAACCGATTGGATTATTAGTTTTTGAGTTATCGTGCCCGCCATTCGTTTTGAGAAAAACGCGTTTAAAGTTTGAGAAACCCTTTAGCCGTCACTTGATGCTTACACAATAAATCGGCTATATCTTCAAGAGTTCTTGAGATTTTCACTTGAAATTTTGTAGGCTCATTCTAGAATTAGAGTAGATTCGAATTAAATCAAAAAATTTTTTGACACCGAGAATGGGGGGGGGGGCCCTTAAGTTCACAAAATGTGATGGTACAGACAGCATTAGTCCAAAATGATAAGATATCTGTAGTTCATGCTATATTTTTCGATTAGCTAATCGAACGTGAATATACGTGATAAACATAAGTAAAAAATATTTGCATTTTGCCGGATAAAGCAATACGATTTTAAATAGCCCCTTTGGCAGAGGCTTTTCGCAATTCAGTCGATGCGAAATTGCCATCGGACGTGTTGCAAAGACCATGCAGTTAATTAGGCGAATATTTAGCAATTTTGGAATATCGGTATACAAATACCCATCTGCAGAAGCTGACATTAAACTCGTCTGCTTAATAAAAACGATATAAGTGTTCCGGTGTGATTGCTTTAAGTAATTCGACCCTGCCTCTCGATTCAAATCTACCCATACTATCGTCATTATTAATAGAATTAATAATTAATAATAGAATTGTGGACTATTTCGCTGTGACCTATTCCCACATTGAAAGTGAAAAGAATTTTTAATTCGATCTTTTTGTTTTTGTTGTAGTCGAATTGCCCTGTAGGGGTTTTGCTTGGCAATGTTGTTGTTGTTGTTCTTGCGGCTCTTGTTCTTTTGTGTTTCGATTTAATATTATTGTTAATTATGTATCTGCAATTATTACTTATTTGTTCTTGTTTTTTTTCTTATTTTTCTTTCTTTTGTTAATTGTATGAAGCATACAAAAAATATATCGTTTTTATTACTATTTATCTAAGTTTTATCTAAAACCCAGTTTACATTCGTATGGTGTAGTGTCTGTGGCTTTCGTTCTTATTTTGTTGCTGCTGTTGTTTGCTTTAAAAAAGTTTATTAACCTAATCTCAATTGCTAATGATGTTCTTTGTCTTTTGTTGTTGTTGTTGTTTTTGTTGTTGTTATTGTTGTTGTTATTGTTGTTAAATATGTACACTCACGAAAATAGATTAGTTCAATGTTATGCGCGATGAGGGAGTGTGGCGGTTTATAATACAAAATGCAATGGAATGGTGTTAGCGTGGTCGGTGTAAAAATGATAATACGAACAGAGGGCCAATGCCAGCCTAAGCTTGGACAGTTGAATAGGTTGTGAGGGGCAAAGGGTATGGTAACAGATCGTCTTGGTGGCGAATAGTGCGAATCTCAAAAGATGATTTCTTCAATCACAACCCTTGCGGAAGAAATAACATTGATTTGTTCATTCGTTCGTTCGTTCGTTTGTTTTTTCTTTTTCTTTTTTTTTAATTTTTGTTACTATTTGTTGTATTTATTTTTGTTATTTTTTTTTTCTTATGTATTTGCTTTTTCTAAAAGTACCCGTTTTTGGTTTTATGTTGATGTGGTTGTGGGTTTTGCTTCTTCTCTTGGTGTTGATTTATAATTACAAGGTACATACATGCATACATATACGCTATGTACTTAAACTAATGCATTTGACGTCTGTTTGTGTGGGTGTCTGCGTGTGCCTGTGCCTGTGAGTAGAAGCGTTAATGAGAATGTGTGCGTGCTGGTTATATTTTTATTCTTCCTTTCAAAGCGATGACATTGCAGGTGTATGAATGTGTGATTCTGTGTTTTTGTTGGCTTAATGATCGAAATTGAAACCGATACAATCCAGTGCTGCATGTATATTGCTGGTGTGTTGTGGGGTGATGGTGTTGGCAATGTTAATGGGGGTGTTTGCTTAATTTTTGGCTGCCTTGATGGGAATTGAATTGAATATGGAGAATATCATCAAAAATTGCATTAGACTTGTTTGTTGGTTTGTTTGCGAGTCAAAAGAAATATTATTGTTTGCAACAAAACAAAAACACGCTGTTTCAGAGGCAAAGATGAAAGGCTACAAAGGAGCCATCTTATTGCGATTCTCTTAGGTGAAAACCATTTCATTGCGCAATTCAGCTCGGCACCCATTGGAGTTCTTTTGGAATATTTTTGGCCGATTTCAATAAACAGAGTAGAGGGACAGTTGGGTCGAAATCAGGACAGAGTGAAATCATGCTGCATGTGGTGTCCAAAAGTGAGGATTACAAATTTCTATTGCTTTTGTTGTCAGGTACTTTAATCAATAATATTTTAAGTGTGGATAAAGGGTATATTTAGCAAGGGATAAACATAGCAGGGGCGGGGCGTTTCTCCCTTCGATTACGTAAGCAGTTCAAAGTAAAAGCCAAGCATAGAAAATAAATTCAAGTATGCGATTTGTGTGCATGTGTTTTGGTGCATGTCGATAAAAGACGAATGATGCAGTTGGTGGTTTTCTCCAACTTTCATTTGCTGTGCTTTTCTTAGGCAAAGACGACCTTTCATTTGGAAGACTTTTGATTTTTCATTTATGTTATGTAATTTTTGTTTTGTTTTTCTTGTTTGCTCATAAATCAGGAGCACGCCGCAATTGTTGTTATTTTCTGTTTGAAATTTAACATAACTAGCTACGAAGTGGAAATTAAGCTGAACAAAAAAACAACATACAAAATGTGGAGGGTACAGCAAATGTGTTGCAAAAAAAGAAACATATTTATTTATTCGTTGTTCTCTCAGTGGTGCATATTTTTTATTACTGAAGTAATTTCAAGTTGTGTTTGGTTGCTTTTGTTGCAGAATAAAAAAAAAACAATTCATCTGAACAAATTGCTTCGTTATTTACTAAATGTACGACTGTGAGGTGTTTGTATGTTTGGGCTGTTGTTCCGTGGGAGTTTATCGTTTGCTCTTCGCCAGGGATGGAAAGTCGCAAAAGGTAAGTACTTTATAAACAAATTTCGAAAGCATAACGTCATAATTACGAGGATATCCCATTCACCGTTTACGGAACCGGCATTACTGTTCATGATCTCTGTGGATCTGTGAATGATAAAAAATGTGTTGTTTTCCATCCCTGACGAATATGTGGCTTGTTGTCTCTTGTTTATTGCTTTTACTGTGCCAAATGGACATTATGCGATAGAAGTTGGATGCGCGGATTTGTTGTTGGACTTATCAGGGCAATCAATGTGAAAAAGTGTCGGACATGTTAAACCACTGTATTTTTTGGTAACATGCTCGGCCTAGCTTTCGCAACGCAAAGTTTCACAAAATAAAAAAAATGAACGCAATTAACGAGATTTTTCACGCTCTCCTTCCCTGTTTTTGTTGAGTTTGCGAGCAAGGACATTATTTGCATAACTAACTACGTCGAGTATAATTGTTTGTTTTGTGTCGGTGTGTGTGAGTGTGCATGTGTTGTAGTCGCTGCTGATATTTTGTTAAAACATTTAGAATTGATAACGCTAAACCTTGTTGAGATATAATCAATTGTTTTTTTGTTGGTTTTCAGTTTTCTGTCATGGTATATATTTACAAATGCCGGCTCGTGTGTGGACATGGTAGCATGTAACGGTGTTTTATTTTGTGAGAAATTATGGCTTATACATACATTTACTATTAGATACAATCTTACCCACAATGTTAACTTCGAACCCCGTTTATAATTTGTTAATATGTAATTAATTCAATTACATGTACTTGTATGTGTATGAGTATGTAAGGATGTGGGATGTGGGATGTGGTTGCGTATGAGTGTGGTGTGTGTATATATATACGAGAAAGAGAGAGACAGGGCGAGAGGGACAGAGAATTTATTCGGTTTCACATTACGTCGACTAAATTTTTTTCCTTGTCTTTTTTGTGGCAGTTTATTCTTTTGTTTTGTTTTTGTTTTTTTGTTGTTGTTTTGTTTTGATGTTTAATTAACATTTATATATAGTTGCTGGTTTATATTAGAGTTATTGTTATTATTACCATTACAATAATCCTAAATGTACAAATAATTGTTTTGAATCCTTTCTTATTATTTAGTATATATTTATTTGTATGTTTTTATGTTTGTGTGTATGTGTGTGTTTTAATTACTAATTACTTTACAAATAAACACAATTTGTGGCATTTATATTTTTTTCGTTTTCGTTTCTCTTTTACTTTTATTTTTTAATATCTATAGCGAAATAACAAAGAATCAACGAATAAAAATATACAATAAAAAACACTAATAAAAATATAATGGAATGTGACTCAACAAACGTCATTTAGGAAAATAATTTTACAAAAGTTGTAGTTCTTCGTTTCTATAAACTTGCTTTGTTTTTTAGTTTTTAGTTTTTTTGTTATTTGTTTGCTTTTTAGTGCAACTTTGAGTTTGTCACTGTTGTATTTCTTTTTATAATTACATGATACATGTTGTAGAGGGGGCAGAGGAAATCAAGAGGGACTTCGTGGGGGGATTAGTATATATAATCAGCTTTAAGTTTTGAGCGAAATTAAAAAAAATAGTGTCTAATTTTCTTTAAACATTTCTTCTTTGTCTTTTTTTTTATTTATCTAAAAACACAACCAATGAGAGCATATTATTGTAAAGTTCTTTTGTTATAAGTTTTTGTTTTCTTTGTTGTTGTTGATGTTGTTGTTTTAGCGAAATGATTTTCTAATTATTTTCTGTGTATTTGAAATGTATGTATTTGTATGTATGTATTCGTATTGGTGTATGCTGCTTCCTTTTTGCATGTTCTTGGTCAAACGAGTACGTGGAAGTTCATGCAAAAAGCAAACGTGAACCAAAACGGCACCTACCATTATTGGATGCACGAGGGGGGTGGGGCGTGAGGGGAAGCATTATGATAGTTGTTGGCTTTGTTATGACTTTTGTTTTTGTGTTGCATTATTATTTCCGCTGATTGTCTAAAGTTAATAACCCAAAAGGAAAAAAGTCAATAGAAAACGGATTTGTGAAAAAGCTCAACAAAATGTTGTCGTTATACGTTAGCTTCATTCCGATCATGTTTTCCTTTTTATTTTATTTACAAAAGAATGCTATCTGGACATAACACTGAGCCACAAGCAAATTGTACTGAAAAGTGGCCCAGTCCTGATACTCTGACAATTATATTTTCTTTTTAATGACCAAAATCCACTAACATTTAACGATAAATGCATGTTAACGATTTGTCATTCTTTGATTTTTCTGTGAGCAAATATCGCTGCAGAAGCCATGGAGGAGTTACAAATCGTTGATGGCGATTTCAAACAACGCATAAACGCTTACATAATCTCAATTGGTAACTCGTATAGGCGGGACCACTTTGGAAGTACTAATATGCCGTTTCTGGTAGTGAATGTCCGAATTGTGTGTATGTGTGTGTGTGGGGGCGGGGGGGAGGTTTTGCAGAAAGAGTGCGTGGATGCTTAGCTGAGGGTTGATTGCAACTGTTACGGCTGCCTTCTCCGTTTCTACTCAATATCAAATGTGTGATCAGCCTTTGTTGATTGACTCCTAAGAAGGGACCCAGTTATTGACCTCCATGCATTTTGCATTTTTCCCATTTAGACTACTGTGAGTATCTAGCAATTCATTGCCTTGCATCTGTGGGAGAAATGTGTGAATGAATGGATGTTGAAAGGTTCCTATTAATCACTCGCTTCGCCATTAACGGCTATAAGTGTTTTTGTTAAGCTCAGTATTATATGGATCCGTTGTAACAGCAGATTTGCCTGTCATCGTTACTAACAACCCGATAGAAAACATGTCGAACGGAGAGATCCACTAGTTTGTGTGTGAGTTTGTGTTTTGTTTTTTTTTTTAGAGGGATTTTGGTTTTTGTTGTCTCAATATGTTTGTTTTCCTTTTCTCTCTCTCTGTTCTTTTCTTTAGTACTATATTGTATTTCTTTTTTTGTTTTTGTTATTTTATAATTAATTATAAATTTAATTGGAATTTTATTTCAAAAAATTTGTTTAGTTTTTTTTTTTACATTTATTTTACACTAACTTTTATTTATTTTGTTTTTCTTATTATTTGTTGTAAGTTAAATTTAAGTTCATTAAAATCTAATTGTTATTAAAAAAATGTTAACTTTTTGTCCACTTTACTTTTGCATTTTTACACTTAGAAGGTAATTTAATTACTTATCTTTTTGTTTTGTGTTGTTGTTGTTTGATGTCTTTTCCTTTGGCTTGAATAGTTGCATTCGTCTTGTTCTAGTTTGTAATAGATTCAATCGTGAAATCAATTAGAACACCCAAACATGGAGAAAGATGAAGGAACAAAAACAAACATTTCCATTTGGGCACATCTCTTCCTCTTCATATATCGCACATAACACATAAGTATTCCCCCAAATCCGATTGCAACCGTCTGAACATATGTTGTGTTGTAAAGGTCCCATTGCCATGCTATCTAATCGGAAGCTGGATTTGCATGTCATCATGTCCTTCGAAATGTCAACCAAGACTTACAACAATTTTAATAAATACAAATGGAAACCCCGTTGAGGAAGCCGGCCACAGAGGTCTGGTTTAGGCGAAGCAACGGCTTTGCCTTAGGCTACGATTGCGTATAATCAATTCCTTAATAGTGCCCATACGCCACGAAGGCCAAGTCTTTTTGATTTCAAAATTTGGAGATATTCCTGTATTCACTCTCTCTCTCTCTCAATGGAGAAGCCGATCGCACTCTATTATGTCGCGCTTTCACGCGTCATATCTAAGGGGAAGGAAGGGCTGACGGCCAGAGTGCTTGAGCACGAACGAGCTAGAAAATGTAATGGGGAGGAAGAGGCTATATCTATCGAATGAGTTATCCTATTTGAGAGTTAATTTTGTGTTGATTTCATTTCATTTCACTTCGTTTCTTTTGTTTTTGTTACGCGAGGGTCATTCGAGTCTCAGTAATTTATTGACATACATACATATCTAGAGAATTCGTTGATGTGCTTAAGCTTTTGTTTGTTTCAATAATAGTAATACTTAACTAATGTGTGTTTGTGTTGTCGTGTGTGGTGTGGTGTGGTGTGGTGTGGTGTGGTGTGGTGTGGTGTGGTGTGGGAAATGTGAATGGCTGTATGTGAGTGTGTGGGTGGGTGTATTTTGACTTTTGTATTTTGTATTTTGCATAACTGAGACTCAATACGTCCTCTGTGCTGTTTGTTTGTCGGTTGCTTGAAATTGTTTGGTGTGGTAAAGGAACTCGTTTTTGGTTTGTTTTCTGTGTTTTATTTTGTTGCTGTTTTTTTCTCGTTCTGGCACAATACACATGCATGCACAAACATACGCGCAATCTCTTTGTTTATTGTTTATTTATGAGTGTGTGTGAGCACTACACCTAATTGAAATTGCATTTGGATAGCAGTCTCAAGGAATTGGGGATTAGGTTGGGGAGCGGATGCTGTATTGCTGTGATTTGTTTGGATTTACGCTTGTGCACGCCGACTGGTGAATATTGTGGGGGGTTTGTTCTGTTTTCATTTGTCCACCGTGTGCAGTTTCAATGACGGACAGGGTATGACAACGTGTGTATAGGTGGCGGGATTTTTGTGTGTTGGTGCGCAATGCGATTATCAGAATTTAAAAACGAGATGCTTTGTCGCTTTGTATGTGTGCATGTTGTAACTTTTTGCTCCGGTATTGAGCCATGCAAACAATGTATTTTGTTGCTGTTGTTGTTGTTTGTGAAGTTGTGATTAAAACTATTTCCTAATCGTCATTATCAAATTCTATTTTGATCACTTGCTCTCCTATGTCGAATGCGAATGTTGTATTTAGTGACTCCGCGTTCACCTCCACAATGACAGCTGGATATTATCCGCGATCGTCATCGCGAGCGGCGAACAGGGTTCGCAGAGACCTGATGAGAATATTCCACCAGCCCTCTGCGAACCCAATTGGACGCTATAAGCTATTTTCACTGCCCATTTTAAGCAGTTCGAACTTCTTTTTTGCGATTTTCGAATAGAGAATATCAATTGGCTGTGACTGATCGTATAAGCTGGGCGCCTGCAATATAATCCATGCAGTGCCCACGACACAAGATATGGCGAATATCCAAAGGAACAATCGATCTAAAACCATGGCCACATACTTCCAATCCTCCTCAACCTGAAAAGAGTAACAAAATGTGAAATCAATGGCAACGCAAATTCAAAGTCACATGCATTGAAATGATGAGGAAAGCCCTCAGTTTCAATTCTCTCTTGAAATTGAACCAAACGACATTGATTTGAAAGATGATTTTGAGAATTGAGATACTTAAAATATTTTTTTTATTTTTAACGACAAAAGGTTCGTGCGACCTTAATAAACTTAATTTAGCATTGAATGATATCAGATTTCCCCTTAATTAATGCACTTATTCTGTTATTCGTCGAATTTATTAATGTTTTGCACTCATTTGGTGTACTATAATTGCCAACCGCTTTTTCAGTATAGCCCACAAATTTAATTTTTAATTTTTGCGAGAGTTAGAGAGAATTGAAGCTGGATATGTTACACAAAGGAGGATATGCTACACAAAATAGTGTAGCCACAAACGCACATATAAAGCATATCTGCATGAACGTTAGAGTTATCATCAAAAATGCATCATGCCATAACTCAAAAACTTGACCTAAGGAATTTTCCAAACCCCAGATAATAAGTTCGATTTTATTGCACTAACATATTTTCTAATTATGTGTTCCGGCATACCTACGCTAAACATATTTGAGTGTTTCTGTACCTAGAGCTGTACATTATTTTTGTGTACCGTTTCTTTTCGAACACTGATAACAACTTGGGCTTGGCTTATCTTAGGATAATGAAGAACTGTACCAATAAGGTACGTCTGTAAGATCAGATATACATGATGATGAGAATGGTACGATATTGCTCTGTTCGAAATTGTTTTCCTTTTTAGATTTTCCTTTTATAGATATGAAAAGTATCACCACTAATTAAAAACAACAGATCAGTATTTTAAAGCACAACCTCTGACTTTCCAAGGTGATATGTTGTCGATTTTTGTAATTTGTCAGACTAAAAGTTATGGCGTCATAAGATAAAGCTTGACTCCCTACCCTATTTGTCTCCTCTGAAATAAAGTACCAAATAAAGCGAGAAGGAAGATATTATGCTTTGTTAAAAGCTTATACTTACACTTTCGAATTTGTCCTTATTTTTCATGTGCTGAGCTATAAAGCGGGATCCTTCGATTGTCTTTTCCATTTCACCCATATATGGCTTATCAAAAGTAGGACTAAGGTCGGCCGGACAGCAGCTTGGACTTAGATCCCCATTAACAGTGGTCGGACTGAAGAGATCATCGTCGGCTCCCGGCAATGGCAGTGCAGAAGGCAGGGGTGGATCTCCGAAACAAGGAGATATACCAGCGTTGCCGACAAACTCGCCGAATCGTTGTGCCGGTATGGCTGTAATAAAACAACACAACAACAGCAAAATACAAATATTAGCCGTCTATCAAAAACAAATGAACAGCAACAAAAAAAAAAAAAAAAAAGAAAATAAAAAACAAATGGTATAATGGTATTGCCTGTGTAGAATATCTCTGCATAAAATCAAAACGGAAATAGAATAGTCGGTTTGTCGCATATATACACACAACACGGAAACGGAAATGCGAGTCCATTGCGTCGAGACATTGATCTGATAGTAGTGGTGGCATTCAAAAACGGCAGTTGCTGAATCCCTCGCCGATAGAAAACCGAAAATTCACTACAGCTTGCTGTGGATTTAAGTATAAGTCGGTTTACGAATATCCAGGCAAACACGTATGTACTTGTTGTCTTCATGTGCACATGAAGTACATGTACATGGGTGCCCCTATGTATTTGAAATTTCAATTAGAAGTAATCATCCAACCGCGATTATTTGGATTTTCCATATGGATTTTTGTTTGTTTCTGTATTTGCATTCTGCATATGTGTCGCAGGTGAATGTGCGTCAATGCTCACATAACTATATACGTGGGAATTGTGCAATTTATAAATCGACACTATCGCGACGGAAGACAGACTTGAAATCGGCGAGTTTATGTCAACACATACGAATTGGAAATGTTTGCACACACACACACATACATACTCACTGTAATGTCAAATGGTACTGGCAAGCACTAACATCGGTCATGCTTCGAATTAAAATAAGAAAGACTGCAGAATAACGCATTCGGGCTTTCTGGCTGTGGGAATACCAACAACAATAACTACAATTTATTATAACAACATTATCAAATTTGAAATGATAAATGGTCTATTCAGCACAGACTTGTGGTCGGACAAGTTGAATAGGCTGGTTGCACACCGCTTTTAAAGGGAAGTGGTTGCCCAATGGCGGACCACTTACATACATAGCATTCGTTCGAAAACACCCACAACACCCACGACGGCCCTTGTAGAGGGAAATCTTCATAAATCTTTGCAAATCTCTGTAACAATAATTCGTTTAAGCATTAACAAAGTTTTAATTTATGGCTGTATCTAAGAATATTAGGGATACTAACATTTTGGCCACCAAGATTAGGATTAGGTTATGTAGATGTTGTTTAACCGTGCATATAGTAAACGATTAGATGACAATTTGCGGAAATTCGTTTGGTTTGGTAATTTACGCGGAGATTCTGGCGACCGACACACATCATAATTTGTTTTCCAGAAAATATCGGTAGATTCTGATTCTCAAAACTTACCTGGTATACCGTAATCGCCACTGAATCGTTTTGTATCATAATTTACGAATTTGTCGATATCAGGTGGCAGATGGAAGACATCTGTCAAAACTTCTTGGGGCTGGTCGTCATCTTCGTCGTTTGGATCATCTTTCTTGGGACGTTCTATGCACAAGAGTTTGGGTAGGATTTCAATAAAAACTCTTTGAACCCAAGGCGCCATTCGATGCGTCACTGGGGACCTGTTGAAACGGGTGAAATGTAGATAGAAGCCAATTTTCAGTCGCGGCGGAACTTACCTGAAGTTAACATTTAGCACCGCAATGGTTACGACAACCGATAACGTAACCAACATCATGGTGAACAGTAAGTACTTGCCCAATAGAGGCACCGTCAATGAGGTGGGCGGAATGATTTCCGCAAGCAGTAGAAAAAACACAGTCAGCGAGAGTAAAATGCTTATACACAATGAGATCTTTTCGCCCGAATCACTGGGTAAATAGAAGACCAAGACGGATAAGAACGATATGCCCACGCAGGGTATGATTAGATTGACCGTATAAAAGAGTGTCTTTCGGCGCAGCGTCAAATTGAACACAATGTCCAAGTAGGGTTCCTCGCAACAACTGTAGAACTTTTCGTTTCTGACTGCCGGAACTCGCATAATATCCCATTCCACAGATATATAATAATCCTGAAGGTCAATGCCAACTTCGATATTATCCGAGTCGGGTGTTTGTTTGAGATGTCGTAAATCCACCTAACACAGAAAAGAGAGAGATAGAGAGAGAGAGGAAAGTTAATCACATTCTGTTGCTATGACATTGACAAATTCGCATTTTGTGTTGTTCTGTGGGCTGTTGTTTATCTGACAGTTTGGTTATTTTTCAAATGTCCATTCAACTCCATGAGAGTTCATTACAATCACCCTCCATACTCACCTTCTACAATGAATTCGCTATCTGATGCTATTGAATATGGGTGACATATGAGCCTACCATTATCACCGCCGGCAGCACAATGCCTGGGCAACATTCGACCTACTATATTCACTGTTATGAGAAATCTGCACATTCCCTTCTACCACGTCTCACTTTGCACTTCCCGCTCGCAGCGGTCTGCAGTGAAGGATGGTTGGCAGTATCTGGGAATCACCAGATAACATTATGCCAATATGGCGTAAATATGTTATTGTCAATTTGGACAGCTGTTCTCTTCCATTCCACTCTGAGGACTGTTTTCTGTTCTTTCATATTTAACGTCTTCTGGGTTTTTGTTTAGTTGCCACCACCACCACCCCCAGTCAACAAGACAAATAGGGACCAGAATATCAGTCAGGAGCACAGCATTTATCAATGGAGGGGAACTTTGTTAAAAAGTAATTTTAACAAATAAATCTGACAGCTGAACACACGCCCACACACCATCCCCAGCCTTGTTTTCACAGAACAGATGCCGTAGACAGAGCCCATATACCCAGTATCCCACACACACGCACTAAGACACTTTGATTTAATGTTTATAAAATTGAGATTAATGTCATGTTTATTTGTTGTAAATTATAAAATTGAAGGAAATTTATCTGGCAGGAAGCTTAAAAATTATAAAAGCATGTGCGCAGGCTTGAAAAATGACAGGAACTGGAAATTTAATGAATTCTTTCAATTTGGAATTTCATTCAAAGTAGGCCTGAGAAGATGTGAGTGAAATTATCGTGGGACTGTGTTCATGGGCCTGTTAAATGGACGGACGATTTAACCAATACAGATCGTTCAAGCAATAACTATGTGTTTTGTTATCCTGCAACATCATTGTTATAGCCACAGGACCTACCAATTGCACGAATTTTATCCATTAATGTTTTGCAACTGAATTCTAATTTAATAATATTTTCAAAGCCCAGTCCGATTCCCGAATAGACCCCAAACATAACTGATTGTGTACTCTCAGGGATTTGGAACCTAAAGCATAACATTAACAGCATATTTACTTAAAATTCTAAACGAACGATTTCGAGTGACCTACCATTAATCGTATGTTTATTAAAAAAATATATTTTTTAGCAAACAAAACATTTTTTCCAAAACCAAATAATTTTGTTATAAAACACTCGAATTCGTCTAATTGAAATTTTGCTTAAATCTGCCAATAATGGAGCAGGTAGTTCTGATAATACATTCGAGCGATTGGAATTTGTAACCTTTTTGCAAATTAAATGAATTCATTAAAACTTCCATTTGTGGTTTAACTCGTCGAAGTAATCGAGGTAATATGGTGGAATTGTCATATATTCATAAATGCAACAATGTCACAAATTCCATTCGTTTTTTTGCTTTGTCTCAAACATCGCTTATAGTTTAATATTTATATTTTCGGTTAACATAAACAACAGCAAGCGCACGGTGTTAATGCAAAGGTGATGCGCTTGTATGTGTGCTGATGACTTACCATATAACCGTCATATGTCCATGAGCCGAATTTCATGAAGCACGTCTGTTCGTCGAAGGGAAAATACTCAACGTCGATTTCACAGAATGACTTGTAGATGGCAGGCGGCTTCCACACCACTTTCCCGGTATGATGGAGGATTGCTTTTGTCATTATTGTCACTTCGTAATTGCCGTCAGCACTGCAAGCATAGAGGGAAAAGAAAAATAAAGGCAAGCCATGAAAAATGGGAATTTATAATTTAAACGAAAAGAAGTGAAGTGAGAAATGTGTTTCCACTGGCATGTCTGATCATTGTAGTGACTATATTCGGATAGTGCGATGGATGTTATGCAGCCACACCTTACTGCTCATTTGCAACTGTTTCATTATTAAGCCATCTGAACTGTAACGAACAGTATACCATGTGTTGCCCAAGAGCTACGAACACATCTCCAATAGCTTTTTTTGACTGGTTTAATTTTTATGGGGATCCCAGAAATTTAAATTTACTCCAACAAAAAATTAAATAGCAAAAAAGTATTTCGTTGTATTTCTTCGCCCAAACCGTGACATTCCTTCCCTATGCGTGGAACCGCATCTAGGAATGTAACTGAAGTGAAAGCCGCCAATGTGACCATGAAATAAAACAAAATTACCTTCAACAACGAACAACAACAGGAAAAATGGGAAGAATCCAATTAAATGATTATTTAGTGTTTATTGTAAACACTCCAAATTGAATATCGTCTCATATAATTGAAAAAAAAACTTCTATAAATCAGTGAGCATTGGCGTTTATTTTGGCGAAACTCGGGAAAGAAAAACAAAAATAAAAATGTTTCAATATTGGTTTTGTGAAAATAACTTCATAAGTCAAGTGAGTCATACCGTCGTTCGCAGCTAAGGCGAGTAATTTTGAGATGATATGGCGTCAGTCAAATCGAATAAATTGCTAATTATGAAGAACTGTCGGATCTGATGGTCATATGATCTTAAAAAAAACATAATTTAATGACATTTATATACGGGGGCAGATCCGGATTCTTAAATTGCCACACAGATTTTCTTCAGATTTGTTTTCCACTGGTTGTTGCTTTATAACCAATTGCTTGATTAACACAAATAAGGATAACAACAGTTATTTTCCCTAACGACCTGACGAGTTGCCACCAAAAACAATAAAATAAATAATATACTGTAAACGCTACGGTAATTCATCGAATCCAATTTCGGTTATAGTTTCCGAGAACAATATATTTCATTCCCCAGCAATTTTCAAAAATCACTTCATATAGACGACTTTAGGGTCACGCCAAGCCCTCACCCGAACCCCACATAGAAAGTACGACAAAAAAGACTTTTGGACGGAAAAAGTGGATTTCGGAACCATTGTGCGTCGTCTATTTAAAACACCTAAAGCATTTTATTACGAATTATTCACTTAAACATTTTAATAAAACCAACTTTAGCATTCGAAAAATCTGTTTAGTGTTTGTTATGTGTGTGTGTGTGTGTTATGTGTTATCAATTAAAATGAAATATTGTTACATATATTGCCACATTGCGTACATAGACAAATAAAAGCAAACCGAATGAAATTGTTTCTCTCACAAGGGCTGTCAACCGCGATATTATTCTGGGTAATAATTTATAAATGATCGAACATTTGCTACACAGAATATTTAGAATAGTAGTGCACAATTTTTTCTTTTGTTTTGGGCAATTATTTATTCCCGTTTGATGCATTCATGGCATCCAGTGTTGTTGTTTCTCGTCGCTATGTTGCACTTATCAAAAGCGTCGCTTTGTGCAGCCATTTGAAAATGTAACGTGGCATTCGGATGGTCTCTTTGTGTATTAGGGCCTGGAGCAAAAAGTAAACAGTGCGTGGCAGTGTCATCCAACCAATAAATTATATCGCTCTGCATTCCTTTGAGATGGCAACAGCCGAATCGGCGAGGCGGATAAACCACGAAGAGAGGAAGCTGTTTATTTGTACGTTCCTCCCACTATTCGTCGTATTCTGGTTAAACGTGTGAAGTAGTGCTGGTGCTGGACTCATGATTTGGAAGCGCACACTGAATTTGCCGATTGGAGAACAAACATTGGGTGGAGGAGTTGGGAATCGCCGAATGCAGTCACTGAATAGAACTATTTAACAGCTTTCAATTTTGTTTTGTTTCAAAACAAGTAAACACACACACACAACTTTCCTTGGCAGCAGTCGTTAGGGGAGATCTTCGAGGTCCGCTAAATGATGAATATGTGTGCATAGAATTTTTACATTTGCCACTGTTCATGGAATGGGACAGTGGGATTTTTCGCTTCGGGAATTTCCATTGCAAATTTCAATTTCCTATTGCTATTAGCGTTAACCATATCCCCCACACGTTGTAATTATTCTTTTAATTATCATTATTATCAAGGACATGAAATGTCAAGACTTGACAAATAGCGGTTAACATGAACACATTTGGGAAATATTTGACTTTTGCAATGCGTCATGTTTATGCGTTTATATAGTCGCTATTATTTGTAATATGTACCCATTGTGCCGGATTTGTTCCATTTTCCATTGGCGTTTACATTTCATACGTAAAGTAGTCAACAGCCAGTATCGCTAATAGCACGGCATTGTTGGTGTCATTGGCCATTACGTGGCATAAAATGTTGCAACCACTTGCTACCTACAGCCATTTGCATACGAGCGCATCCAACCCAACTAGAGAAGTAGAGCGTTTGCATATCGTTGCATCATCGCCTCCACCATGCCCTGGCCCCGGCCCGAGCCCAAGCTGCCAACCTTAAACCGGTATAGTTTAGTTGACGCCTTCTCATTGTTTAACAAATGCTCGGATATTTTGTATAGCTTCTGCTGTTAGCCTTGGCAATAATGCAGAATTTATTGCAGCGCTAGCATGTGCACCGCATAGTATTGGACATAAGGGCTTGTATTAGTTCTATCTAAGTGCACAAAATGAAACAAATATAAACCATTCTGCCTGCCTCCAACAACAGCCAATAATTTAAATATGTCATTGTCCACCGTTAGCCCGACTTTCGAGTTGAGTTGGCCTAATGGCATTGACGGTACGGGGATGGTGGCACACGGGTTGCTATTTCCTGCCATGGTGATAATAATTAGTTACAATTTGTTTGGTTGACTGTATCATGATTGGCTTTCGCAAGTTTTAGCATAAATTATAAATTCTTGGGAAAACATTGAAATGTGATGCGGGCCGTAGTTATATTAATTAGAAGAATTCGTTAAACACTCCCCCCAATCTATTGCCCTCTGTGGGTGCTGGCTGAAGACATAGAGCGCCCAAAACCCAAACAGATAAACAAAGTACTTTACCAAGTAAACATGCCAATCGTGACAAGCTATTCGTGGCTGTTAATCTCGGTTTCTGTCATCCAATGGTCCTCTGCAAAACGAGCTAAGTGGTTCGACATTTTTCAAATCGAAGACAAGTCATAGTGCCATACTTACTTATTGTACAAAACTATATCGGGCAGCCATATGTGCTCAGAAGGTACGTGTAAGGTGTCAACGCCGCCATAATCGTCAGGATTCCATTTTAATTTGTAGTCATTCCACTCCTGTAAAAGAAACGTAATAAATATTGAGAACAGAATGAAAATTAGTCACTTCTTCCATGAGCATGTGTGTAGGTCGACGCATGGTGTATATTATCTCTCTACTGCTGTTAGGTAGGATCACAGGTTTCGCTTCGTGACAAGAAAATACTAATGACCTATGTGGAATGTATGATCTAATGAATGATAGATCATTGGGCATAATATGATGCAAGGACCTTGATTCGTTAGGTGCATATTTCGAAGGTGGGAATTGATTTCAAGTTAATCAATGAAGTACAATGCCCGTATGGCAAATGCATTCCAGTCAAACATCCAGCATGTTCAAATGATATTTGTATTCCAATGCAAATAATTAACTCTGCCACTGGTGTCGAGGAGGGTATGGAGTGCCAATGAATTATGCTAAATGCAGTATAGCATTATTTGATCTGTGGAAACGTGACCACGCATTGCCTGTCCATAATGAAAATATGCAGTTTTTTCTTCTCCGTGTTCCCGTTGCAAACATTTTTATTTGATTTCGGTGGCCTGGTGTGTCATCAAATCCAAATAGACGTAAATTACACTCTCGCCAATGTGGGTTTGTATTCGTTGTGGACAAATATTGAACAATCATTTCGGACCCGCACCACCCGACAGCAATATCGATGAACATTAAACACCATGCAAAATTTTGCAAAGGGAAGCAATTACCTGTTCTACCCACACATTTGTCGTCATGATTTGATTTTTTAAATTCTGAAATGAAAAGAGAGCGTATACGTAAATTGTATGAACATATAAAGCATCAAACATAAACACATACATAAAGAAAACATATTAACGAATGCGAAACAACATGAAAAATGATAAAAACGATTCACCAACACATCGACAATGCCACATTGCTCGTTAGTCTTCTGTCGGGAAAAGATGCCGTTTCATCTTCACCATAATCTTAATTTAAGAAGGAAAGCCCGCATCGAATGCTTCCTTTCTCTTAGCAGGAAAGTGAATAGATTGTTATTGCGATTACGGATACTTGCCGATGTTAACGATTTAATTGTTTATATAAAATTATATTAATGAGATAATAAGCCATGCGGGAGCATGGTGTCCCCGCTGGATGGTTGGTTGTATTGGTTATACTTGGGAATGGATATGTCATCTAACTGCTATCCGTGGTATAGCATATAGGGGATATGTGACAAATCGCATATGCTGGAAGTTTGTGCAGAGTAGTGTAAACGAATCTGACAATTTCGCGAAAAAGACAAAGTGATTTTTGGGAAGAAGAGTTCGTTGAATTAAATTAGACAATTCGAGATACATTGATATGGACAAAACGGAAATGTTGTCTGATTGAAAAATAGTTGTAAAATAAAAAACGTAAAATCTTTAAACAGGCACACAGACAAAGCAATAGAAAATCGTCATGTGTGTTTTGAGTATGTTTTAAACAATATGCAAGCCCAAATATACGTGCAATTGTGCATACATATTTTATTTTTATTTGGACGCCAGACGAGAAGAGACCATTTCCCAAAATGGAGATTTGGGGAGAGAGAAGAAGAACGAAAAACACATTAAACGACCTGCGGATTCGTTTATGGGAAATCTGAAATATGCGCCAACATTTCTAAGGAAGGTAAGTGGTCTGAAAATATGATAAGAAGTAATTTGCTCTGAATGTACATTTCTAGATAACTGGATTTGTAAATTGTTGTTGGGTTTTCATAGAGATTTGTTTGAAGGGTATATTTAGGAAATCTCTCTTCAGAGTAAGGGAAACCAAGTACGAAAATGACCTCGTCGATATTCATCGGTGATTCAACATCCGGAACAGTAATGGGAAAGTCACCTATAAAAAGCGGTGAAAACACTAATGGTCAATTATGAAAGTGAAGTGGCAACTGGGATTAAGGGCGAAAGAATATAAGATTGTTGTTTCCAGATTCGTGATATATGGAAAAACATAATAAATTGTACATATGTTGATTTCCGTATAATATATTTCATATCCTCTTTAGAAATGAGGCCTACTGTAAACATAAATATCCCAACATCGCAAATACATCCCCTGCTGTGAGGCATTGTAAATGCATATTGATTAGGGTCTATAGGTTTGAATCTCAAAGGAAGAAAAAGGAATGAATTGTTTTCCAATCAATTAGCATATGAGAATGCCTTTAATATTTATACAATGATTGTGCAGCAGCAGCAGTCGATCTTTTATTTTAAAATGCCGTACCAAGCATCGACACAAACACATACTTACCCTGAAGAGGCCCGACATTTTAATGTACTCGTTGACATGCTCTCGACTAAATCGATATGTATTTGCCATTGTCGATTATCACATTAATATATGGAAGTTTAAAAGCGCCGACACCACCCCCACAGCCGCCCCGTTTAACAACATTTGAGTTGATCTCGGTCATAATAACTTTCACAGGCAGCCTTTTCACACCCTGTGTGCCAGTGTAAGTGCCCGGCATGAAGTGCTAATTCGATTTCTGTACGGGGACAGACAGATTTTGTAATAATGCAAAGCTGTGACAATTCAATTAGGTCTAAAGCGAACGCTAAAGCTTTTAAGTCATTAACACTCCTCAGCATTCGGCACATTACCTTGAAAGGCTTTTAAACGGTGATACGGTGGCAAACGGTCTGTCGTCTATCCTGTTTCTTGTCGAAAAACGAAGTGGACATCTTTTTTTTAAATGCTTGGGACGGGGGATTGACTATAAATCTTTTGAAAAATAATACCCCATGTTGTTGCGGTTTGTGTCAGAATTGAATGTGTAATGACATGGCAAAATTTACGAAATTCCAAATGAAACTTAAACCAGGCAGCTATCCGCCAGCGACAGCTAGCCAGCTTGCCAGCCGGATTGAATGGCCATAAATTATTGATGTAGTGGTATTTTAGATTGCGCGTGCCTGCGTGACAGTGGCTGTGGTTGAATACTAGCCACAAAACATTTCATCAAATCAACAGCTTCAATGCCATTTATTTGTGTGATGGAGCACATAATTGTGCGAAGTAATTACGGGTTAGTCCGAAAGAGGATTAGAAATTCAATTTTATTGCAATATAGGAGCATATTGGAACTAATGCGTATGAAAATTTAATGTAAATGTATTGAGATTGTTTGGCAAACATTCTGATAATTTTAATTAAAACTAGGTTGACCTATCCATTCGTGAACGGTGGCTAATCAAATTAAAGGATTGGTATTCAACAGTAAACTCCAAGTCGGAAATAAGTTGAATCATCGTAGTCATATGGACAGCGTTGCCCCACTTTTCGTGACTCTATTTCGCTAATTATGAATGGTTCTTCAATGTCGGGGAATTAGTGTTATATACCTGTAGTTTCATTTCAAAACATAAGGAAGATTTCCCAATATTGAGCTTCGAACCCAAGGATGTTGATCGCTTCCGAGTAGGAGTTCTAAGGTAATAATTTTTGTTTGTTCGTGATTCTCACTATTTGACCTTAGTGATTCCGTTATTGTTCGCCTCTTAACAATTACCCGAATTTCTCCCCCCTTCAGGCGAAGGCAATACCTCATGGCATTTGTTGAATGCGTTTACTATTCACCTCAACGATGACAGATATGATTTATGATGGGTGATGAAGTGTTATTAGGAAAAGTTTCTGCTTGCTTTCATAATTAATGATTGCAAGTTCTTTTGTTGTTCTTCATTACACTCATGAAGTTTGCCACAGATAAACAAAGTGATGGAAGGAGGAGGAAGAGAAGGAGTGAAGAGCTCGACTAAATACTTACCACATCAATTAGTTGTGACAAACGTAAACCCATTTTGACCGTTAGACGATCGGAGTTATTGCCAACAGGCCGTATCAAGCGATTGTAGTTACTTAAGAGGTCGTCGTATAAACGTTTAGCATCTGGGTTGGCCAGGCCGCCGGTGGCAAAATGTAACGCTATGAACACAGCTGCAAAAAGCACGCTCCCCATCTTAGGCCAGGTCCACCCCTGCAATGAAAAAGAGTAAATAATTTAAAAATGTGTACATAACGATATTTGTCTAAGAACTATCGCAGACAATCATTGGCCATATGTAATGACGAAACTAATTCTCGACTATAAACAGCAATTGATTTTATTCGCATACTCAGACTCGTTAACAGATGGCCAATGAAGCTATTTTTTATGTATTAAGTGTGTTTGTGTGTGTATATATATGGCATACACATTTCCACAGTTTACTTAAAATGTATCAGATTCCAACACTGTGACCCAATATTGTCCCTTTGTAGCGTTAAATTTCAAAAATCATGATCAGTCAAGACATTACCTTTAAATTTCCTCACTTAAACGTGGATTATTGTGCATTTTGGAGATATAAAAGTAAAAAGATAGCAAACATCACACCGCCCTTCCAGTGGCCAAGGGCAGGGAAGACAAACACTTGACTGCAATTTCCCCACTTCGTCGGTACTGAACGCGGTAATATGGCAAACATGTTGCCGGAGAACTCAAACTCGAACACAATCAGAGGGAAGCAACAACATAAAAGTTTACGACACATGAGTTATGGAGTGCCGTGACGACGGACGCTGGTCGCCAATCAAAGGGGGTGGACATGTCGATGCACAAATGAGTGGCATTAATTCAATGAAATGCATTCTTGATGTTGCCATTAGGTAATAATAGATTTCAGCAGTAGTTGTTGGTGTCGCTTGTCATGTTACTATTCGGAAGGGTGTATTACGTGTTGGATTATAAAGGATTTAAGGAGTAACTTCTTGGCATTTGCATAATGTAAATTCCATTATTTGTATCGGTATGGAGTGATGTAGTGGCAAATGAAGGTGCAGTGGCAAGCTTTGCACGCTGTAGCCTTACGGTCAACTCAGAATTAATCAAATGAATTAATAGAAACAAATTAGATATTGAGAAACAGATTGAACTCACAAAACATTCATTGAACCATGCCAATGAAAACATTTATGTATGTATAGCTTAAGGCCAACATCGAAAGGAATTATTTATTTAAATTATTGCACGTATTAGAGGGGGATGTCAACATTGTTCTGATATGAACTGTTAAAATAAGTTTAGGTTTGTTGGAATTTCTATGATATGCACCTCGCTATACCACCGATTAGGTGAGATTTCCTGAATTTTGTAGACATTTGTACATTGGTGTTAAACTAACTTCCTGCGAATTATATACATATGACAATCAAATTTGACGAATATAAATGCCTGACACAAGGATAACATTAACCCATTCAATTTTAAACTTTTTTACCTGTCCCATTTATTTGCAGTGAGCTTTAAAAATTTAGACGCAAATATTACACGCGCATGCACAGAATTCTAATGCGTCTTGCAGCCTAACTCCAAGGTCAATGCATGAAGACCCTGCTGAATATATTGTGCCACTAGCCTAATTTGTCAAACTCTAACACAGCTCAACAGAATCGAATGAGTGTTAAAGAACCTTTTGAGTCTCCTGGGAACACCAGAACACGATGTTGTAACTATTTTGAGTGAATGACATCAGACGTATCGGAGGTATGCACACAGCTCCCTTGCATGCACAAATGGTATTCTAGCCTTTTGCTCGATGGCATCAAGTACCAGCGAAAGAATGCCCTAGGCCATGGCTGTATTCAGTTCGTAAAGAACTGCGTTGCAGTGGCTGTTGGGAAAGACAAGAAACGGCAAATGACGTTATATTGGAAGCCGTCATCCGGATTATTTGAAACAGTTACAATTTGCTGGCTTGTCATGTGTGTGTGACAAATACAAATGGAAAAGATTTAGGTAACGTGGCAACGCGTTTTCAAAGTTGATATGTTGCAAGTTCGTGATTTCGTTCGTACTTTTGTTGGTTGATTCTGCTTTTTTAATGCTTATTTTGTTGAAGTGCATGAGAAAGTAGAGAAATCTTAGCATTTTCATATTAAAGTAAAAGTTTATTAATTTGAGGAATATTTTTTATTTGCGATTCCGAATCGCCTTGGTTTTGTAAATGTTTAAACTGGAATTACGAAAGGTTTTAATTTCTGCGGGTCGATATTTTTTCCTCAACCACTATATCGAAGATTGGGTCTACCTCCATGCGAACTCTATATCTAATATATCTTGGGGAGATTTGCTAATATATTCGATATACCTATAATCTGGTGCACCGTTATATGGAGAATGTGATACCCCAATCTGAAAGACTGTTTATCAAAAAGTGAAAGTTCCGAATAATATAAATTTTAATGAGTACATCTATAACATGCCAGCTCATATTTCGAAACACATTAACCAGACATAGTTTCTGCCTGTTGATTGGCTTGGCTGTTGAATGCCGAAGAGGAAGGGAAAAAGTCCCCCAAACGTAGCATTGTTTTAAACAGATTAACATCATCTCCATTCAGCAAACGTGTAATAATGCTGCAGTTTCCGACTAAGCTGACACTTGTCGCAAGAGTTGTATATGTCCTCTTGAAATTTGTGCTTTGTTGTTTTGTTTTCAAATGAAGCACCTTATGGAGCCCAGGTCGTCGACGATATTTCTTTCGCCCTTCCGTTAGTGCCTGCAACACACATGATAATGAGAATTTGTGTGCATGCAATTCTGCTCAAAGTTTCTTGCCGCATTTCTTGGTATTTTGTTGTTCTAAGAATATTTGGCAATCGGCCTACATACATATGAATGTGCATTGGTAATTTAACCGTGAATGTTTGGCCCAGAAAACAGTATTTCTGTCAAGAGAAGTACAATTGGAATAGGCAACCTTGTCGCGGGACACAGACCAAAGTTATATTATGGAAACATATATATGAACAATCTCCAGGGATATGTGAAAGTATGAGGGACAACAAAACAGGAAAGTTATATTTGGGTAAATGAACCGATGACAGCCAGAATGATATTCGTAATAGAGAACACACAAATATCGGTGTGTGTTTTCGATTTATGTTGTTCACCATTTAAGATGGTGACTATTCTCTTCTCTAAGCCAATGGTACACAACTATTTATCACTTGTCAAGTTGTTCTTTGGTTGACTTTTTTGTATTATTTGGCACGAAAACATTGTTCTTTTATGTTTTTTTGCGTATTTGTGTGAATGTAAGCGTTTGAGGTTTTAGTTTGTTTCCGCCAGCCTACTTGTCGCTTTTGTATGTCCGAAATGTAACAAATATGACTTATGTAACACTTATACAAATACATTTGTAGAAATGACACTCTTCGGTCGCTCTCCCTGTCCCTTTCTATAGACTCAAGATGAAGTGAATACATAGGTACAAATTACCATTTGTCTCCGTTTCGGGTCGACATTCTTTCGTTCTAGAGAACGAAATGAAAATTGAATTGAAAAAAGCTAGGACTTCTAAAGGATAAGGGAAAAAGCTGGGCATACGCACACGGACATATACCGTTTGTAATCGGAAACCCAGTTGTTCACACTCAGTAAGGTAGTAAGAAGCAGAATCACAAGATGTTTGCCAAAAACCATCATTTAAATTGAAAATATTACTGCATCAAACGATTGCCAGACGAGGCACGAACAATTCTTTATATCAGCCTATCCATAGAATAAACAATTTTGGTGACTTTCAAATAGAAACAATGACAGACCGACAATACCGGCATCGGAAACAGTAGCTTAAAGTCGTGCAAATATTGCACTTGACTGTGACAGACGTCTAGGACAATCAATTGCACTAACAGACACACATGCATTGCTGTATCTGTTTGTGTGTGTAGACAAATATTGGGGCTGCATTTAGATGAAGGGAAGTGGGCACGTCTGCCAGACAGTGGTAATTTGTAGTGTGTCCATTTTTACTGTGATGGTAAGATGGTAGGAAGGGCTTGTCCAAACAAATAAAAATGAATGACACTTATGATAGTACAAATATTTGTATTTAAAAACATAATATAAATACATACATCTGCATATATATTTACACATTTTGCATTGATTTAAAAAAGTGTACATTTTTGAAAATTAAATAATTGTTTGTAATTTTGTTGTTAATAAATATTTTTATCTATATATGAATATATATATAAATGGAGCAACAAAAATGTATACTAACCCATCAATTGAGAACGGCTGGACCGATTTGACTCAAAATTTCTTTCAGTTGTCGGTAATTACAGTGGGAAGGTTTTTATAAAAGAAAATTTTGAGAAAAATCCGCGAATATCTTGCAAAAATTATTATAAAGAAACGGCTGGACCGATTTGGCTAAAAATTTTTATTAGTAGTCTGTAATTGAAGTGGAAATGTTTTAATGAATGAACATTTTGAGAAAAATCCGCGAAAATCTTGCCAAATATATTTTGAAAGATATTAGCATTTGTACACATTTTATATCGAACCTTTATGGTTTTATCTCTTTGTAGTTCTTTTTGGCCATATTTTCGGCGAAAATTGCCAATTATGGAAAATTCTCAAAATATGTTAATTTTCTACAATTACTTGGATTGCCATTGCCATGAAAAACTATCTATGTATATATAAAATAGAAAAAATAGTTTGTTTGTATGTTACCGATAGACGCAAAAACCGCTGAAAGGATGTTAATGAGATTTACACAGTATGTCATGACGTGTCCGGAAAGTAACATAGCCTATATAGACTTCTAAAAATTCGCGTGGATGCAGAGTTATAGCATCAATAGTGAACATACCTCAAAATTTCTGTACATCTTTAGAACGGTAATAGATACCGTCTTCCAAATTTGTCTGAATAACGTAGGTGTAAATAAACATCATCCATACAAAAATGAGCGTGGTACGATTGGGGAAAATGCACTCACTGTTGCACTTAAATAAGTTACATACAGCGAAAATAAAATTAAATATCTGAATATCTTGAATAAATCTGTTCATAAAAGTATGTATGATAGTCATATAAGTACATATCCAATCTTAATGACCAAGAAGTAAAATTTGGTCAAAGTCAGAAATTGTCGACTCATAATTTTTTGTCCCATTATCCGTTCATTATT